ATAAATCACATAACCTGGCAGGCACTCGCCTAGAATGTGGCGGTGGCGCAGCGCTCTCTGTCCTGCTGTGCTCACACTATCTCACACTCCAACACCGCTTCTCAAGGCAAAATGCCTGCAGCCGGACACTGCCTGCATCCTGCTTTACCTCTCTCTCTCTCTCTCTCTGTCTCTCGGTCACATGTCAGGGTCCAGGGCCAAGCTCCGGCAATCATGTGGGGGGGGGGTTTCCTACTCCTGATGACCCCCCCCCCCACACCCCCCCGCCCCGAATAATATAGAGGATAATCCTTGACCCACACCCCCCCCCAAATATACTCATCGAGGGGGGGGCTATTAAGAACCAAGTCAAGGTGTGTAGGGTTCCTGTCGCCTGCCTAGGGGAACCATTTAGCCATGCCAAGTCATGTTACACGGCGTAGGCATAGACAGCAAGACTGTCGATCTTTCAGCTACACTTCCCTCCACTACTGAGAAGCCCTTCAGTTTAGCATAGCTACGCATTGTCATTGTAATATCGGGGTGCAGCATGGCACTGTGCGTCATTCGCTTGGTGGGGGTCATTTCTCTGGGAGGAGATTCTAGCTAAAACCTGCATCCGAATCCTAAGCCATGGTGAACCTGCAGATAAATCATTCATGTTATTCATGTTTCATTTGATTTACCGCGGCTGCACAACGCCCAGAAAGATCCTTTGCCTCTCCAGACTAGTCCCTTTAAAGGTGTCCCTGAAATCATTCTAAGCGGCTTATGGTAGAAAGCTTTGCCCGTCAGCCGCATGTTCGAGATGAGGGCATGCAGGCTGGAATCTGTATCGTTGCTTGCTGCACCTTAAGCGAGAAAGGAGCTCATCTTCAAAACCAACAAGAAAGCTGAACACGAAAACGTGGCGCGCGAGGCGCAACGTCATGAATCCTTTGCGAATGTCATTTATGATCACACGAGACGTAGAACTCAGCTTGTTCGTGTGCTTATGTTTGCCAAGTTCCGCGTCTGTCTGTCGTAGCGGGACATTCACGCGTCGTGCGTGAATGTCCCGCTACGAAAATGCCGATCTAGCCCTTGTATATGATGCATACTTGCGCACATTGCAAAGGCTCCCGCTCTTAATCTGCTGCTGTCGCAAGTGGTTGCCGACATATCGGTAACCAATGCCATCTTCTATCTGTATCCTTATGGATTATTGCCAACGTTATTGCAACATGTCTGCATCTTGAGAAGAAGCAAAGCCTGACATTTCCGGATGTCGCCAGGGCAGGCTCCAAGCACAGTATGGAAATCAAGGTTGAAGCTCAAACAGCTGGGAATGAAGATGAATGAAGTGTAGTCTTCATCGTGTACTCACTTGACATAGAAATCCAGAGGATGCTTTACAGTGGTCATGCGGTTATGCGGACTCTGAACCCTTCACTGTAGATGTGCGCACATATATGTTGCGAGGAATCGAGGGAAGACCACATACGAAAACCCCATACGGTCCGAAAGGAAATCCATTGTCAAGTGCGTACAACCACGTCATCCCACCAAAGCAGCAGCCTTAAACGCTGAAACGAGGGACGGCCGATCCTCACCATAGTCTGTGGCTCCAGATTGTCCAGCTCGGCCGGTGCCGGCATGGTACAGACTTGGGTGCCGTTCCTCATAGTCATGTGGCACTTATGTGGCCATAGTGCAACTGACATTGACTGACATTGCGTACTACTTTGGAAGCACGCGGCATTGGGCAATTGAGTACAGGATCATGTTTCAGGCGTATAATTTTTGCAAGTCCGTATATTTGTGATTCGTTGCAAAGACCTTCAATCATGCCTTGCAGTCAGCTCCTGCATGTTTTTCTCCACAGACGCTTACGTACGGCTTGCAAGGTGCGCTTGGACACAGGAGTGGGTGGGCGGCAGTGGCAGTCTGGCAGTAACTAGGTGCGGCCGAGAAGTAAGCCACAAGCTCTCACAGAGGTCAGGAATATCATTTCCCGAACACCCCATTGCAACCATGACAGCCCAAAGAATGGAGTGCTCATTGCAAGCATCAGAAAATCGGGATGGTCTGGGGATGCCTAAACCCTCCATCCCTTGACCCCACACCACCCACCCAGCATGACGCACAAATAACGAGCAAGGCTCATGATAAAATCCAAATCGGATCCCCGGCGCTGGCAGGCAACATGCACCCAGGTCTTCAAGGGGACCTGAGCATATCAGGTTTCAGGATTTCAGGCGTTTGCGTCGTTTAGGGTTTCTGCAAACAGAAGCCCTGTCTGCAATATGATGAATCGTTTGTTGGAAGTCCTCAAAAAAAGATTGCGTTTTTTGTCGGCAGACAGGGATCTCTACTTTTGATACATTTGGGAGGTTGCAAAAAATGACTAGGCCGCTTTGAACTTTGGGGTCGGTACAGTAGGATTTGTAGTGCACTTGGGATCTAATTTGGAGAGATGCCCAATCTGCAAAAGGTATGGGGCCGCTTACACGTCCAAGTGAAATCACCAGCACTATCCGGCAAGCCACCCTTGCTAAAACATCGCATGCGTCCTTGGATGGAACCCCCTCATCAACGCATCTCCGGTCATTCTTCTCTGCCAAGGGCACAGGATTCGGGCAGGAGGACACAAATGGCATGCCTGAACAGGAAATTTCATCACAAATTCTAAAGCACAAGACTTGCCATCGAGGGGAGGTGGAGTGTGCCTCCGCGCGGTGCCACCATCAAAGCGATTGATCCGTTGTTGGAAAGAACTACCTTGATGCACATAGCGAAGTGACAGGTCTAGCGTGGACACCATGCAGCGTACTGGCCGGATCCAAGTCATGCCCAGGAGACTGCCAGCCCCGACATCGTCGTGTTACCGAGGCGATCGCGCGTGTCCTTGGCAACATGCGCTTTAAAGCCGCAATCCGTGCAATGCCTATCTCCTGAGGATATGGAGGGTTGATCGGGGTGGGCAAAGGCATTGGTGTCTGGTACTAGGGTACGACCCAGAAGACGTGCAAGTCAAACCAAAGCCTCGCAGAAACCTTGTCGCTGTTCGTAATTGACACCCGATGTCGCCTGCCGTGCACAAATTGTACACAGTATGTACTGGTACGAAGATGCGCTGCGACAGTCTTCACGTGTTTGTCGAAACCGAGCTGCCCAAATCACGCCTCCATTAGCCAAGAAGTAGTGCCAGCCCTCAAGTGTCCACTCATCGCCTGGACTCATGCTGGACATTGCTGGACTCTACAGGCGAGACGTGGGAAACATCCACAGAACACGGCATGCAGGGCCACGGCACCAAATGTGAAGCTCATGTTGTCCAAGGAGAGATCCCATTCTGTGACGTTGTAGGCAGTCTCATGCGTTTTCCTTGGGTCACAGGTGTGACTGGTCAATATGGGGATCGCACAACAGAATCAATCTGTCTGCCATCTATTACGCAGTCACGCATGTAGGCACTGCAACATCTGAGAGTCTTGAACTCATTGAAGTTGTCTCCATAGATCTCACCCCAAACCTGCCATGCAGGGCACGAGTTGTGGAGGGTTGCATCGACGATAATAAACTGCCAGCAGATGATCCCTAGCCAATCGACTGTCAAGTATTTCCTTCCGCCACCCCCCCACCGCAGTATGAAACATCCCCCCACCCCGAAATATGAAATCTTCATGTTGGATTGTGCTTGCTCATCCGATTTGATACATGATGCAATTTGCCGTTAACTTCGCAAGGCGTGCTATCCGGAACAAACCGGTTCCTCATAGGCTTGTTATGAGCCTCCGAGTAGGCGCTTGTGTCTGTTGCTATCTGTCGCTAGTGCAAAATCTCCAAGTAGCGAATGCTTGGGCTTTGACTCTTCGTGACCTAAGAGAGTCTCCTGTTTGGAGGCTCGTATGAACCTCAATGCGTACTTGGTCTCAGAATGTCCCAGAATGTCCCAGACCTGGTGCTAGATCGCTTCTTTTCAGCCCCAAAGCAAAGCCGAGAAGGTGGCGACAGCTAGCTGTGTCTCTGCGTGCTGCTTTAAGCTCGCCTTGCCTTAGACGTGTTCCTCAGCTGCCGCCGCATTTTTTCCAGGCCTCGAGAAGCTTGATCTCTTGTGTTTAAATGATTTTACATGAGCCACATCAGATCGCCAAAAGTGGTTCACAAAGAAGCCAGGAAGAGCTATGGTGGTCTGTGTTGACCATCGGCCTTCAGAAGACTAGAGGGGGCCGGGGGATCCAGGAGGGAGGCCGTCAGGATGGAGCAGGGAGCTTCAAAATAGACCAAGTTTTACTCACACACGGGGAGTCCCCAGTTCAACCCCAATGCCCTGGGTAAATCTCACACAACTTCAATGGAACCCAGGCAGATTTCCTCTGCATACGTTCTATCTGTACATGCTTAGATCAACTTAGAATAATATGAAACGTGGAACATGGAATTGAACGTCGGACAAACCCGTAAATAGGTTGTGGGACAGTTCCAGGACTACATGCTGAATAATCATAATCCAGTGTTGAGGCATACGGGAGAATTGCAGGGGTGTAATCTTTTCATGATTTAGGTTTGTCTGGGAAAATGCGCGGAGTGTCGACATCAGCGACTCCACAGCACGACTGCCCATGCTCATGTGAGGCGACCACTGCTCTTTTTGGGGAAATGTCAGTACGTGGAACTCCGAACACGCATGATGCAGGACTCTCCGCAGCAGAAAGATCTACAAGACCAAGGACAATGCGAATTGGGTTGCTACTGTTGCTACGTTTATCAGCATGTCGAAATCAAGTTCCCACTGATTGCAACACGAGCGAAGTATGCAGGTAGTATTCGGGGCGTCGTATTCGCCAATCTGAATCTCCCCAAGTATGGAAGCCTCTCCTGATTCTGATGCTCTTTATTTATAGAGGCGCCCTGAAGGTCTTGGGTCCAAAAGACATGTCCAGACATATGGCGACGACAACGAAGACTGCAACGGGCACTAAAGAGCATGTGCTGCGTACTAGTCATGGACGAACCACCGTGTTCCAGCCTGGCGATGCTGGTAGCTTGCTCAAAGGCTTTCTCAAAGACTCCTGAGAACATGCCACCACACACGTAGCAGGAAATATGTATGCTCACATGCACTGGTGCCTTCGAATTACACCTATGTTTATGTGCGTTCATCAAAAATATTCAGGTGGCTACAGAACTGATCCAATAGTCAGGTTGATTGGCTTGCGGGGGTGACTTCGCAGTCTGCTTCTGGAGCAAAGCACTTACTGCTTTCGGTCGTCAGATGCAGCTTGATATCCCAATTCAGTAAACAGAACACCTTTGGATTTAGGCATTGACCCGCCAATCCAGTTTGTCATCACCCATTGATCTAACGGTCTGGTTGTTCAGAAGCATCAGTATGCATTATCGAATGTTTGAGCACCCGGAGCCTACTTAATCTAGCCAATTTGCCGACTTGGGCCCCAGTACTTTAGGTGTCAAAAACCGACCTAAGTGGTAAGAAATGTACCTTCCTGGATTAGGGGGTTTGACACAATCCAACTTGTTCACTTAACTTGCTAATTGGGGTGATGAGATCTATCGGGTTAGGAGGTCAGAGCCGAACGTGATAACCCAAGTCAATAGTTTGCCTAAACACGTTTTGAGCCATTCATCAGCCTAACCAGCTAAGTTTGATATCTCTTTCATCTTGAGTAATCCCAGCCGAAGACCCCATCTGTGCAGGGTCTCTTCGCTAGGAGTCCATAGCGCTGCTACGTAGCCGTACGAGTGCAGGCCAGGGAGTGGGCATGTGGCCTCGATGCGCAGTAGTGGATGCCTTGGATGCCTTGTGTCCTTGCAGGAAAGGTGCACTGGGGGTATTTGTCGGTAGTGGGCCTTCAGACGACGTCAGAGCCCCGCGAGATGCAACGTCCTTGAGATTCAGGCGACGCCCGTTCGTGATAGCTGGCACGCCTTGCCGCAGATCTCAGGGAATCGCTTCAAAAGAGACGGCATGCGAGAGAATGGCGAATGAGACCATGCGGTGTTCAGAGCTGTGCTTGCATATTCCGGCCTGGCCTTCGACGATTTGCTCAGTCTTGCCGGTGATGGGGTTCTTAATGTCAGCGTACGGCGGCCTCTGTGAGCCAGGGTCGAGATTTTGCTCTCGGCGAAGTACAGTCCAAAGCTTTTCGGAAACAAGCCTGGTCCTGGACGCTAATGCCGTGATTTTGTCCATGCACGCTTCAAAGCCCGTACGGAATTATGGATTTGAAAGGTTTATTGAGACGTACAAAACGTTGAGCTTTTGACTCGGGGGTTTCCGGCAACTGTGGTCACTGTGGTCCTTCTTTCGGGGCCTTTATCTGCCAATCTTGCTGTTGTCTCGGATACATCTGATAGAAAGTGTGCTGCCTTTGTGGTGTGGGGCCTTGCGCGAACCAACACCCTGGCTCCACGCCCTACCATCGCCCCATGAGCAATGCTCCAGTTTCTTGCGACAACAAACCCAGGCATGGGATGCAATGCAAGAGACTGGTGAAAACCAGGACAGAGTCTGCGCAGGAAGCAGCCACGAGCTGCAAGACGCATCTTGAGTTCGGACTCAGCCTTCTGTGCTTTCACATACGTATTTGAACTCAATTTCGGATCCCTCAATCTCGTGCACAGCTTGCATGTCAATCATAGCTGCCAAAACCACGCGTGGGTTGTATGGCTTTGTCCGTGCATGCCAATGTCGTGACCTTCGGCCGGACATGGTCGATGATGGTCTTGTAGGCTTCGCTGTGGATCTAGGATTCGGAGGATTTCTTCAGGTCCGCCGTAGAGACAAAGTCGTCATTGGGGCACTGCAACCTCACATGTGATACACATGGCGGTGCGGTCCGGTGTCTCTTTCCTCCTAAGCACAAAATGCTGGTAGTACCCACGCCACTTTCCGCCCATGCCACCTTTCCCCCGTACTACATTTTCCGTGAGCCAAAGTTACATGCCTTCCTGTTCCTTCCGGAATTGGGTAAGTTGTCAACATGAGCTGGAGCTATACCCATTTGGTCTACTTGGAAGCTTTTTTTGACGGAACCCGCAGAGAGAAATGGTGATTCAATGATGCCGATGCTCCCCCCAAGCCTGTAGAATCAGCATCCTGGTTTCGATGTCAGTTGCTGCAGCCTCTCTGGCGTCAGCCCTGCAAAACAGGATTCCCGTATTCATAAGGGTATACAGGCAGACCCTAAACTATTTTCTTGCTTCCCCAAAGCCGCCTGTACCACCAGGAATTGCATTCGCGCATGGCAGCGCCCACCTCGCGCAGCTCTGCGCTGAAACTTTGAGATCATGTTCGCAATTGCGCGGCTTCAATACTATTCGCTGCTGCTCTCATTCTGCGCTGGCTTTACCACCCTGTCACGTTAAGGCCTGCCTTGAGCAAACACCTACACGTAGATGTCCAGTGCACGTCCCTTATCCCCAGAAATCCTGACAGCATCTGACTGCACGCCCTGCCTTGATGCTGAGGCCTGCCAAAGTGATAGCAGCCTGCAGCGACTGGCCCGCGCAAACTGCTGGATGAAACTCGTTGATGACTTCCTGCGCGGCGCGCAGTGCCGCGGCAGCAAATCAGGGTCCGCAAAAGTACGCTCAAAATCTTGGGGTTCTTAGCATGCCCCCAAGACTGGACCTCTAGTTTCTGGAAGCAATCACTTAGGATCTTTGCACGGCGGCTACTGCGAATGGGAACCTGCCTGACTTGCCTTGGAGTCGACTTGGGCCAGGACATACTTCTCAGTGTGGCACACAACAAGTTCAGAGCTCTGAATGTCGACAGAATGCGTCGGAATGATATGAAACCCGACTGCCTCATCCACCGTGGGGAGGCGCAGTTCGTTCGGTCCCAGGTTGCGCATCGCAGCGCTCTTAGGATCCTCGGGTGTAAGCTTATTTCTAATTTAAGAGGGTGAAAGTTGTCCGACATAACACCTTGCTTAAAGTCCCCCGACTACCAGCCCAAAGGCGACGAGCTCCTGGATACCACAAGTATACTAACAGAAGCTACTTCGTCAATACGAACATTGCTTCCATGAAGTGCTAAACCTTTAAGACAATCCTTGATCATTCTATCTGCACTTTGTCACAATGGACGGTGTTTCTTGCACGCAAGCCGAAGTGCATCATCTTTCTTCGCTTTCTTCACGTCCGTGACGGCGGATGCTTTGGGGACAGCAGAGGAGCGCACCGGATGCACCGGATCGTCCCCGAGCGTCGTGAATTCCATGCTTGCTTTGGGTGCAGCTGACAGACCCACCAGACCTTCGTCAAGGGGAGCTGCCGCACGGCTGCCGGGCGCCTTTGAAACAGCAAGTGCGGTTCCTAACTGGGTTCTGAAGAAGCAGAGAGCCTGTCTGATGAGACCCGGTCAAGAACTCATTCCGTTCCTCATGCTGGGCCCAGAGGCCGGGACGAGGGTCTCGAACCCCTTTGCAGGGTGAAACAGACGTGAGGCAACGGCTCTATGGGGCAAACTGCTTGGGGCAACTTGTAGTACATCATGCCAGCCCATGGCCAATGCATCACTGGTCTCTCAGCAGAATACTTGCGTGGAATGTTGGAACAGGGCAGTGCCACCTAATTACGAGACAGTGAAGGAGCATCTGTTCCGAGCATGCACGGCCGTTGCATTTCAGTCATAAGATGCAAAGGAATGAGTAAGACTCCAGCCGATCGGGACCCACGCAGCATCAACCTCACGGAGGGAAGTGCATGTGCAGAGCGTTTCGAAGAAGCACGAATGTTGGTAGCAGTTCTCGTAGACATAGCAGGAGCGACATCTTTCTAAACAGGTTCAGGCCTTGCCGTGGTTCATTCTTGGCTCACTCCCGAAGCTCTGAGATTAGCTGACATTAAAGCTATTCATACCATTTTCAATACTCGGTCTTTGCAGCGATCCGCAAACAGGGAACCAAAGCACACGGGCCGGACTATTGCCCGGAGTGTTGAGGCGGCTTAAGCTACAAGGAGTCCGTTCTCCTCACAACAGCTTTCTTTTCCGTAGGTCCTTCGTGCGATCCCGCTACCACGATGTTTCACTAAGGCTCCCTGCACAATAGCCAGGACCACCGAAGCAGAAAGTCCAGAAACGCAGAGGATGCGCAGACCTTTGAAAACATCTTGCTGAGAATATGGGAGTTTGACAGCGAGTTGGAACATCAAGGGTTTGCTTCTCGTATTCGGTGCATCTGAACTCCTGGAAGTGCTTGCATCTCCATAAAAAGATTCAACCTCTGACAGCCGAAGCTGTGCTGCTCGGACGTATGTTGGCTCAGGCTGGGATTTGAACCAATACACGTCCCAAGCTGGACGGCGCGCATGCAACAGAAAACCACATCCTATGCAAGGGCGCGTGTTGTTCTTCGAGCTCAAAATTTCAGCTGCCCCCCTGATACGGGACATGATAAGCCGGCAGCTTGAGTCTCGGCGTCCGAATGAACAACTTACCACAAACCCCTTTTTACCCTTGTATATCCTCGTATCATCTCAAATTGCAGGCTTGGCGCGACGGCTGCGTGTCCCCAGCAGCGATACCTCTGCAAATTCCAGGTTGAGGTTTGGGAGGGGCGGTTGGGATTTGGTTGGATTCGGTCTGCTTGTTTCAGAAGACCGCGCGACATTTGCAATGATTTGCGGCCTGCCTTTTCAAATGCTCATGTCGGAACTAGATGCTGGAAAGGGGGCCACAAGCACGTGGTACCTCCTTGAACCTTCGCAGGGCCATTGGATAATAACAATACCGTACTCACTTCTCTCGAGCACTTTGTCCCAGAACTCCGTCCAGGCAAAACAGATTGCGCAAAGTTACAATATCATAGATGTATGCTGATGCTACAGTCTCAAAATGAAAATTCCCTTTTCCAAGTACCTCAGCACGAGAACAGCAATCGATACCGATTTTCAGGCAGTCATTTCTCAACCTAACCCCAAGAAGTTCGTTCATTCTCAGGTCAAAATGTGGGATTGGGTTCCGGCTGGGTCATGGAAGAGCCAACTGAGCGGACTGCTCGCTTTCTGTTCAAGTCTTGAAAGACTAGTCTTGCAAAAGCAGTTGCCTCTTCTCTGTTCCTATCGGTTCTGCAAGGTTTGACGGCCTGAACGCTTCTGGACCCGGCGGCGTTATTCAGAATCCTGATCGATAAATCAGGCAACGTCCATTTTGTGAGCCCGCTCAGACTGCCGGGAGTTGATTACTTGACTGAGCTAGGCCAATGGAAGCCTCAGGGTTAGAAACTCAGAAACGGAAACCCAGTGACGCTGATGCTGGTCTGCGGTCTTTCGACATCGAGGTCATCGAGGTCTAGCAGTCTAGCTCGGACCCCAGTTCCTGCTGCCATTGCCCTCAGTTGAACTACATTCCAAACTGCTTTCCTACCTAGACCGTGCCGTACATCACGGTAACAGAAACCTCAGCCCGCGGCATCACCACCCGGTGAGCTATTCGTTTGACCTGGTGCAACTCACATGCATGGCATTGGAGGACGGAGGACCTTCCCTCTCCCCTCACCGCCGAATGAAATACAGGGGTCTCAGTCATGAGACTAAGGTTTTGGGGCTATTTCCCAGAGTTAGATACTTGGACTACGGGATGATGATGTGGTGATTAAATATCGGACTGGGCGCTCAGAGAACGTGGTTTGCCTGGCGGAAGGAAGTTACGGAACACAAGGATGCTAAGCTGCACGTAGCGGATTCTTGGCGGGAGGAGGCGGCTAAGGGTTCATGCAAGACGGAATTCGGGTAGGGATCTTCGAGGGCATTGCTGGAGGAACCTGCGTTCCAAGATGTTACAAGACAGGCTGGTTGAGAGGTGATCGTGTTTATCCATACACGACGGCGTGTCAAAGCCTTTCTGGCATAGACTCTTGTTTTGTGGCGCTTATGCTTGATGGTGTATAGGGTCTGGGGCGTTGGCTTTATGGTTTCACGGTTTCGCGCCTATTCACAGAAGTTATTGATTGACAGGGGCGGATAAAAGTGCCAAAATCCTGAATTCTCAGCTGTGAAGGATGGCAGACCATGGCCGACCGAGCAGCAGTCCTCGTGCTTGCCGGCGACAGATGGCCAAGCCCCAAACATGTCTGGATCTTATGTTTTCCTCACCGTCAGCCTTCAAACCGTAAGTCTCGAAACGCAGAACCTTGGCGCCCCTGACCCTGAACCTTTCAGGAACGGAATCCCTGCGTGAACCGTAACCCAAAAATCCACTACTCTGAATCTTCAATCATACAGAAGCCCGAAAGTCAAAAGCCTTGACACAGTCGCTGTAGTCCCAGTCTTGAGTCCATGCAGCTCAATTGTTGCACAGTTGCCATCTGGCGCAGGGACGCCTGCAATAGAACAGCCGAGGCCTCCCTTTCCCATAATCCTGAACTCCCAGATCCGACTCCCCCACCATCAAACCAAGCCCTTACTCCCTGACCCTCGATCCTGAACTCGAAAGCCACACCCACGTTAACAGCACCTTTCCATCTAAGCATGCGGGATTGTGGGTCGATTTTTTGACACCAATACCACCTTCCTAACTAATCGAAACCTCGGTTGTCAACGCCGCAGATTGTTACAAGTACAAGCCTTCGACAATGTAGGTTTTCAAACTCAGCGGTAGGTTTTTCCACTAAACGGCATTACTTCACTCAAAAGAAACTCTGCAATCAAAACAGACGTGGCATCGGGATCACCGTAAATACTCAACACTAAAACACATACAGTGACGGAGTGCCCAAACTTCCGATGCCCTCACCCCCGCTCAGACATACTCACTCGTGCCGTAGTTCCGTTGTTATTATTTCCAGCTCATGAGTCTGATTGCCGTGCATGCTATCGGGCCACAACAACAGTAACGGCACAACCAAAGCCAACAACCAGGGGCTCAGCTTGCCATTGTGGCCGCGGTGCGCTGCACCAGGGATTCGTGGGCCCCTCCTGGCACGGCTCGGAGTTCTCAGGGTGAATCACTCAACATGTCTAGGGTGTGTCGGTGTTGCAGGTTTAAGGCGTTTTCATACATCTCAACCTTAAAAACAAACGTTTATTTCGTGTTGGAGCATTCGAGCTACGGTGACAGTTCAGATGGTCAAGGGTGTTGGCTTCCTTCCAACACTTTGAGCTTGTGCTTCTCTTGTCGGGTGTGAGGTTCGGAGGGCTAGGACTAGGATCTACCCAGGCTCTTCAGCAGCTGGGCTAGCTCGTAGCCCAAAGCCCTAGAACCGTCAACCCAAAGGAACTGAATACTATTGCGATCTATTGAGATTCGGTCTTTCGGTGTGGGGTATGGGGTCTGTCTCGTGAAAGCAAAGGGCGACCAAGAGACAGGTCGAGGCTTTTTCAGTTTGGGGTTGATGGCAACGCTTCGTCGGGTGGCTCTCCAGGTCACCGCCATAGCAACTCTATCCTTCCAGCTTGAACGTACTAGCTTCCTTCCAGGGTGTGCTGTTGCTCTTCGAAATATGGCCCGTTTCTAGGTTTCTATCATAAACACGGAGGCGGAGGCAGGCATCTTGAAAAGCAACCCCCGTCAAGCAACCCACCCTGTCATCGAACAGACGAGCTCGGCTTGAGGGGTTCTAAACCTCTCACTCCAGCCTATACCAAACGCAAAGGCTAGAACAGGGAAACACTACGGACTACAACTTTGTCTATATTTTGTCCAATGCTTTCTCGGCTTTTCGATTTGGTGTCTGTGGTCACCAATATCTTTAGGGTTTTAAAGTGTTTCAGATCATGTAAAGTCAGGCCTCATGGCTTGCTAGCGGGTTGACTAAGTAGGGCTGGTAGTGCTGAGAAGCATCGCTGGTCAAGGGTTTTCCAAGTTTCAGACTTGCTAGGTCGTCCAGGTTTTCGGTTTGGTTCAGGCTTCTCTACCACCTGCTTTCAGCAGAAAAAGCTTACAAGATCAAGGCGTGGACTGTGGAACCTGCTTTACTCCTGTATATTGATTTGGCAGAGGGATATTGAGTGGTGCTTGTTTAAAACTTGTTCAGGCTCTGGCACTGTACGTGTTTGTTATTGGGGGGTTGGGATGCGGATCCGTCTTTGCTAACTGTCTGAGTTTATCTGGCACTTCGATTGCCGTCTTCTTGCTGGCTTGATCTTTGATGTGCCTGGCCACATGCATGCGTTACACTAATGCATTTCCTTCTCATCACCCTAAGCCCGCACTTTCTGTACTCATATGTACCCATCCAAAGCGACGGCAAGACCTCGCCGGGCAAGAGACATTGCAATTCCCTCTGTGTGGACATGTCGGAGGATCTTGCAAATGAAGCGTTGATCTCAAGCTCGCTATTGCATCTATCTGCTTGATCAATCGGCGCATCGCGTGGCTTTGGAAGTTGTGCCATGCCTGTGGGTTACATCGCTGACCTAATGGACCTTTCGTCTTAAGATATCTTGCGAAGTGGCGGAGTACCGAAAAGTGCGCTTTACGTGGCCTGGCCAGCGGAGTATTTTACACGCTGCGTTAAAACCATAATACTACTTTAATGTTCCGGGGAGGAGTGCCCGGCTGGTCCTGTTTTGTTAGGATTCTAGGGGGCAACGGGGCCCGTGTTCAAGGAAACATGGAGTAGGTCAATATTTCGTCCTACCGCAGTATGGGCAGGGTCATCCAGAATGTATGCTCGAAAAGTCATCCTCTTCTTCTCCCAAGCCAAGTTTGAAACCTTAATCCCGATTGTAGATGCCACGACGAGCTGTGCAAACTAAGATATGTTGAAGCCGAGACCACAAGCCAAAACCGTGAACTTTCTTCAAGGAGACCAGAAACCCTCAATCAACATTGTCCACCCCTGAATCCCGAAATCTCATGGGCCTTGAAGTAGAGTTTCGGAGCCAGAAGTTCTGGTGTTTCAAGCTGCCAAAGCAGCATCTGACAGTCATGGAGTTGACGACCACTATGATGATGGCGATGGCACAGTTTGCACTTTGCTGCTTTGTGTATTGCACATCTGGGGCTCTGATGGTTGGAACTCCATGCGAAAAGCTAGTCTGCAGCGTTTGGCTTCCTCTCCTCCTCAGGTTCCAAAGACTCTGTGCCTAGATACTTCACGTTCGTGTGGCTTGGCACGATGTTTTGCCAGCCACCGTCTTCCTCCACAGCCCCTCTTGGGCCGAAACTTTGCAGCCCCGTTCGGGCTGAAGGGATCGAGAAGCACGACGTCACTAATGAGCCCCCGCTCTGCCCTGACACCGCAACCCATCATGCCAAGACTGAAGCCGTTAACGTCAACCACGATGCTGCAACGCAGCTCAGGACGGCAGAACGGCTCCGAAGATGACCACTTTCTTGCTTCCGGGTGGGGGTGGCACGCACCTTCGTATCGGCTTGCAACTGTGGCACAGTGCATGCGCGGACTTCCTGTCGCTGACCCAGCAAGAATATCTTGTTTAACGCAGAGGGCCCTTCTGGCTGGAAGCCTTGACTGTCGGTTCCTGCAACAGCCTTGAACATCATAGTTCTTGCATGCTCGTACAGTTGACTGAGGTACACACTGCACTACGTGTGGCCCCCAGGACCCGGGCCTCAACAGCTTCAGAGTCAACAAGCATGCAACCCAGGCGCTTCTCGACAAGCAGGTAGAGGTAGAGTGCTAATGTGCAGAAGCTCGTGCTGAGATTCCTTGCTTCACAAAGCAACAAACGAGGGTTACGTGTCAGAGCGCTAGCGATGACCACGATTTCCCGATGCTGATGACTTGCCTGGCACTTCAGCGCTCTCGAGGGATCAAGGCTTGGGGTTTTGACGGGCCTGCAGGCAAGTCGTGGGCTTAGAGCTGGGGGGTAATAGTTCCGGTGTGCAGATAGACTAGCTACTCGAAACCTCAACTGGGACAGAAAGCCGGATGGGATTCTAAGATTTCGCTTGACCCTCTGGAACTCAGCTACATGATGGAATTCGTAGTTGTAAGATGTTGTAAGCAGCTCTTCGTGGTATGCTCCAGATTGTGGTGTCGGTGGTTGCTCGGCAGACGTTGATGGTTCTCTTCAGTGAGGATGGCGGGGCCACGAGGCTCTGCCTGCATCGCGGTACCTGAAGGGGTTGGTGGTTGCTGGCCTGAGCCTCCCCAGGACCTGGCGTTTGTCCACTGGAGTCATTGCGATCCAGCAGAACATGACAAGTCTTCTCTGCCGGTCGAGCGAGTGAACCCTTTGCCAAAGCGGGAAAGTGCAGAAAAGCATAGAGATGGGGCCCTTAGGGGCTGCAATCGGACTTGGGTTCTCCATCTGCAAAGTACTGCCAATGCAGCCAGGCAGTCAGAACAGCATACCAGCTGACATCCAGCAGGTGGATGTGAACAGAACTGATGATGATTCCAGGAACATCCTGAAGCGAGTCATGTCAGTCATGTCGGCTCGGGACTGAATTAAGCGGACTTTTGCACGGGCGTGCTGGCTATGGGTTGCTATACATCTGGTTCTGGCTGCTGTCCTTGGTTCCAGACTGGTCTCTACGCACGGCTTATGGTGTTCGGGGCTGATTGGATTGAAGCCCCGCATGATGCATTGCCGCGTTGATCATGCACGCAGCGGCTTCAGACAGATATTCCAACAAGACTTGCGAACAAAAGCAAGTCCATCTTTGCATTCCCAAGCTACGTCTTGTGCGTCTCCCCTGTGCCTGCCTGTGCTCCTTATTTTCGGCTTCCTTTTCCTTCCTCCCAGTCTGGACGTTGGTCCCTGCTTTCATACCCCGTCCTCCCTTCTGTCTTTCTACCGTGCTGCGATAGTGTACTGGCTCTTTATTCTTGCCCTCACTTGTGCACTCCCTCGACCCCCAAAGCCCATCCCCAACCTAGCGGACCCTGCACCGAATGTCAGGCGAGTCTCTTGCGTGATTCGCAACATCTCGCCGTATGCGTGCTCACCGCGGAACTCCAAAGCATCCTTCAGCTTCGTCTCATCCATGCAGCAGGCGACCTGGGCTGGCCCGAGAGTATGCGGACGTACCTCTGGTATCGATACTGCCATGATCTTCCATAGTTGCGGACACCTGTATCAGATTTCTCATCATCACAGCTCAGCACCCATTGCAGGAGCACGAGGAACCAGAAGCAGGCAAAAGAATTCAAGGATTTTACCGTAGAAGCAACGGAGCAGCATCCGTATCAGCATTGGTGAATGTGTTATGCCTGGAAGAAATCATGGGACGCCAACGTCGCAGGAGCAGAGGCTGCGACAGATGGTGGCATTTTCTGCCGATGGTGCCCCTGATTTCCCCTGTTCTTATCTTCTTCTCCGTTGTCACTGCCGTCTCGTGGAGGAATTATTCGACAACTCTCCAAATGTGCATGGGTCACAGAATGTCTCCGACCCAAAGAACAAGCAGAACTTGAATCGCTAGTCTACTTCCCTAGTCTTAGCTGGACCCCGCCCGGACAATCGGACAGCCTGTTTTATGACGAACGGACTGTAAGCCCAGAGGCGAGAAACCCAACTCCTGTCACCTCGAGGCCTGCAGAATTGCTCACCTTGTCGCTGCAGCACGTAAACATCGTGCAGAGAGCCTCAGAAAAGTTTTGGTGTGGAACAGGTGGGCTTCCATTTGGCCTATCGAGGATTCCTCGCTCAGGCAGCCAGGCACTGAAGGCTTTGGTGGTGGATGAAGTTTTTCAAACATGTGGATCTTGGATCAAAGCTCCAAGAACAGCGACAAACGACGGTGGCTAGCTATCAGAACTTGGGAGCTTCTGCATGCTTTGATAATCGACTTCTCTAACATGGGCAGGAGAAGGGCTTGGATTCGAAATGTGTCTTTCTTGCAAAATTAGCAAGGATAAGGCCAAGCCGGTCAAACCTCGCAACAAATCAGCCACAAATGAGATCAACAGCTTGAGTTTCCACATTCAATTGCCGTCCAGGAAGCGACAGTCCCAAGGCACCACCAAACTACGCTGACTATCCAGAGGGCTGTATGCCTTGGCAGCTTTGCCTAGTACTGCAAGGTTCTCCACATGTTCAGCAAAAGCTTAGCAAGGCTTTATGGCAGTAGAAGCTGATCAATGTTCAATGTATTGCCCCAAACAAGCTTTTATGTTTACATAGGGTAACTGGCATCCAGCACAGCCCATGCTCTCCCTTCACTACACTGTCTCTTCAATGCCTTCGTTGCCTCCTGGCTTTCATTAGTCTCCCGACATTTTCTCTGCATCCTCTCCGTCTCCTGCCTTGCCTCCCTTCAAACAGCGGAAGCGGTGTCGGCGTTGGTGGGCCTAAAAGTCGCAGGGGATGCTTCTTTTGTGGTCTTGGAACATAATGACGTGATCAACCAGAAGCACCTGCTGGCAGTTGAGGGACTGGCCAAAACACCAGCTATGTGAGCTGGGAACTGGATCGGTTAGGCTCCCAGGTGCAGAATTGCGTACACTGTCTGCCAGCGCGCTTTCCGTGCCTCGTCTTTTGTCCCTGTCGCTGGTTGGGGTCGAAGCTCCGTGTCGACTTTAGTTTGTCTTCCTTCTTGGAACTCTTCGAGATTGCTGGCGCCCTTTCTCGTATCCAGAATCTGCGTCGTGCGTGCCCCCGCTGTCAGGTTGCTTTGTATCCCTCTTGCAGTGTTGCGTTTCATCCATCGGGAACCATGTGAACGATGACGAAGAGGCACGCTTAGACCCTTTACCACGGCGGGTCCTCACAGGATATTAGCTTTAGGGGTCGGGTCTCATCTGCTCTACACATGTTGCGTGCAGCTTGGTTGTTTGGTCGGCATCCGTGGGAAGATGTGAAGATCTGTTAGAATCTGTTAGAAAATGTTACAAACGGTTCTAGCTTACTCATTGCAAAACTGGCAGAACTGGGCCAACGAATCAAGCTTTTCTGACATGTTCTGACCCTTGGAACTCGGTCGTGTGCTTCATCACTTCATCGGTTTGATCCGGTCGTCTTGTTCCACGCTGCACCCAATTCATCATGGATGTGCTAAGTGGACAGAATCGGACGACCGAAGTTGCGAATGCAGTGCCTGTGTCTCTGCCCGGTGCCACATCATGGCATCCCTTTATGATCTCGTTTTCTTAGTCTTCTTTCCTGCTTCGTTCCTTCCTTCCTTCCTTCCTTCCTTCCTTCCTTCCTTCCTTCCTTCAACACGTTGAAGCAGCATGGGACAGACGATTTACGGACAGTGGGATGCCGGCATAACAACAATCGGGGACCCGTCTCGACACGGTCAGCAAGGGTTCAGCGGAGCCGGTTGAGTGCACAATGAGCTTGCAGCTTGTCGGGCGTCAACATTGGGCAGGCCTATGGTTTTGGAAAGTTCAGTTTTGGAGTTCAGTTAGGAGCTCGGGCGTGCTGCTGCGCGCGCGGGAAGGACCAAGGAAGGAGGGGTGTCCGGGATGAAGTGCCAAGCTGCCTCGACATCCTCGTGACATGGTATCTAGCTGAATCTAGCTGCTAGTTTCAGGATATTTCGGTGATTCGGTATCTCGGGTCTCGCGGAGTCATGGTCTCCAAGCTGCAAGTGTGCACAGGACGAGATGGTTACTAGACCCGATACTTGAGTGGCCTTCGGCAGTAAGCAGTGCCGTGTGCAAAACTGAATTCATGTCGATATTTCTCTATCTTGCTGCAGATTCCAGCACCTTGTTGAACTGCCGGAGCAGAACCCATGTAGTCCAATCCCTCGATGTTAATCATGCTTTGGCGAGGATTTCGGTCTTCTTTCCTTTCCAAAGACTTAATCGAACGCCATCGAACGGAAGACGTGCAACATGCTTGACGCAAGATATTCCTTGCCATTGCCGTCAGAAGTCGGAACTTTAGGTGGCTTCGGCCTCACAACTTATGCGAATTTGCTGACTCTGCATGATTTCCGTGTCATCTTACACTTCGTAGCTCGATTTCAGGTGCCTAAATGCTCGCACTCCACGGTACCTGAAGCAACTCCAGACCCGAAATCCTATAAGCAAAACGAACCCAGCTGGCCGCCGGGCTGCGCTTCTTGGGACAGCCCCGTAAGCCCAACCGCTAGAAGGACAGTGAGAGGCACCGCGAAGCATTGAACGAAGACACAGAGGTGACAAGCATTGACCTGCAACTAGCGTGTAAGCATTCACCAGCAGCAGTCGTCGTCGTAGTAGTAGGAGTAGTGACGTGCAGCGGAAGTATTGCTTAAGAAATCAAAGCTTGAGAATTTCGGGGAGTCCGGTGCACCTTGTCATATTTCACCCATGGGCCGTGTGCCCTCAACTTAGGAATTTGAGCCCCCTAACATCCGCCAAATTCTTAGCTTGTATAGGCTTCACACAAGCAGGTCCCGAAAACCTCCGAATGAAGAGTCTGAGAATCTCAGATTCTTAGCTTGCGTAGGCTTGACAAAAGCAGGTTGTGAAAAACCTCCGAATCAAGAAACTGAGCCCTCAGATTCTTAGCTTGTACAAGCTGGAGGAGCTACACAAACCTCTGGTTCTGAAGAATGCTTTGGAGTAGTGGTCTATCGATCTCCTTAATGCCTGTGGTCCCTGGTGCAAATCCTGGCTACCAGTAAGAATGTGCTAAGAATCTGAGCCTCCCTGAAGCCTGCATGGCAGCAACATTGCGATCCTGTCAACAACCTGCAGAGATAGGAATCTGAGCCCCCCTGACCTAGCCCGGGGAGATTCTTAAGCAGCTCTTGCGCTGTAGTAGTAGTAGTAGTAGTAGTAGTAGTAGTAATAGTAGTAGTAGCAGCAGTAGTAGTAGTAGTAGTAGGAGTAGGAGTAGGAGTAGGAGTAGGAGTAGAGGTAGCAGTAGCAGTAGCAGTAGTCGTAGCGGCAGCAGCAGTAGCAGTAGCAGTAGCAACCGTAGTAGTGGCAGTAGTCGTCAGCGTCCTCCTCGTCGTAGTGATAGTAGTGGTAGTAGTAGTAGTAGTAGTAGTAGTAGTAGTAGTAGTAGTAATAATGAGAATAATAACAACAAGCGTAGAGGCAGCAGTAGTGGTATCAGTGCCAATACTCGTACTAGTACTCATCCTCGTAACTCAGGCTAGGTGCAAACTACACTCGCGGTAGAGGGGCCCGAAGGAACATAGTGCAAATCACGCCTACCCTAAACCCTAAACCCTGCACCCTAAACCAACCCCCCATAGCAAGCACCCACAACCAAACCCCCATAAATCCGGAAACGTCCACACCCCGATCCCGTAACCATTATACAACACAGAAGAAGCCTTGCAGCACCCAAAACCGAATCCTACCGATGTTATCGGGTTGAGGGTTTAGCTACGAAGGAAGATTCCTTAAAGGATTAAGGCAACTGAGTAGAAGCTTTCTGGAAACTGGGCTTCATTTCGGGTTTCGGGTTGCGCGGTTCCAACCTAAACCTAAACCTAAACCTAAACCCTAAACCCTAAACCCTAAACCCTAAACCCTACTAAGTCTGCTGACGGAGGCAATGAGTAGGCTCTCCGGTTGCAAAAACCGACAACTGCACACCGAGGCTCCGATAACGTTCAATGTGCTCACGACGGCCTTCGTGGAGGGATCTCTCTAGTTTTGGATTTAGGGATAAGGTTTGGAGTTTTGTTTGATGTAACTGTTACTACTACTGCTACTACTACTACTACTACTACTACCACTACCACTACAACTACTACTACCACTACCACTACCACTACCACTACGACTTACTACTACTATCATGAGTAGTATGACTACTGGTACTATTGCCGCTGTAAACAGTAATATTTGTACTATTTCTCATGTTATCATTTGTAATACTATTGGTACTACTGTTAGTACTGTTGCTACACATATTAGTATTTAGGGTAGTATTTTCACTGCTCTTGCTCATGTGACTATTATTACTAGTATGACGATAATGTCTATTAGGACTTTGTTTGCACGTTCGTCACCATTGCTAATAGTGTTACTACTCTTATTGCGGCTACTGCTAGTGTTACTGTTACTATGCTCTTCTTGTTCTTGACCCTAAACCTTACACCCGAACCTTTAATTCCCGCAACCTGAGACTGAAAACCTTTGAACACATGGACCCACTCCCCAATGTGTGTTCACTTTGCAATGCTTGTGTATGGGTGCTTCGTTTTCTGCCACGCCCTTATACCTCGGTTGATCATTCCATATTCCGCGTATGTATATATATATATATACATACATACATACATACATACATACATACAGACTCCCGACCACAAAAGCAAAACACATGCTCCCTGAACATACCCCAAGCCCGGTAGAAACCCTGTGCATGCCGCCATAGGGGGCTGGGGCGTTGGCCTTTCTTCGGGGTTTAAGTTTTCAGCGCTTCGGAGAGCTAACGGGTTTTAGGAGTTCAGCTTTCTTTCTTCCTGGGCTCTACTTAGTGGTGCAGGGGACTCCGTGCAAGTGGGGTTATAAATGGGTTGGAAGTAGATAAATATAACACTAGCTACCTTCATTTTTATCTCTACTTGCTAGGTCCCCTGATCCTCTAAACCATCTCGGCGCAGGCCTTGAATGTCTGACGACCATGCGACGACCATTCCTTCCGCCACGCCTTGAGCCTTGGCTCTGAAACCACCGCTCCCAGCGCCCGTCATTGAACGCTTGAGGTTCGAGTTCCCAAACATGAGAAGCCAAGTGGCAGGAAGCTCACCACAAGTACCACATCCCCCCAAGACAAACTGGACCCGGATTTGCAGATCTCCGACCCCAAACCCTAAACCCTAAAAATCGAAACCCTAAACCCTAAACTCTAAAACCCTAAATCCCTAAACCCTAAAACCCTAGACGGCTGTTAGGCTATCGTTTTCGGCTCCTGGGGATGCAAAGAAGCAGATTCGGGGTCTGGCTTTTCCCTCAAACTTCCTGAGCCACAAAGCCTAAAGCCGAAAGGGTTTTAGGGTTTAGGGTTTTAGGGTTTAGGGTTTAGGGTTTTTTTAAAGTGCAGTGGGACTTTCTCCGCATGAGTAGTCTCGGCCAGTCGGCTTGCACTAAATCTAAATACGCCTTCAGAACAGGGTTTAGGGTTTCGGGTTTAGGGTTTAGGGGTTCCCCCAACTTCCTTAGCCATACCCATAGGCCCCCATAGTAGTTCCTTTCTGTGGCTTATATTTAGGATCCTACCAGGGAATCCCCAAAAGGAGCTACTATGGGGCCTATGGGTAAAGCCTATAGCCGAAACCTCAAAACCAAAAAACTGAAACTCAGCACTCTAATTCAACCTCAAGCCCAACGTTAAACCTAGGTTTCATGCAGGTTCTTGCCTACCAGCACTGAAACCGGACAGCTAGAACAGGCTAGAACGGAAAAGGCCCTTCGAAACCATGTACAGCTCCGCTGGCTCTATGGAGAGAAGTCGGACAGGTTTCGGAGCCACCCTAAACCCTAAACCCTAGCATATTGCACAAGGATTCTTCCTGGCATTCCGGACCGTAGAAGGTGCCAGGATACTTGGGCCGATTTAGAGTTTAGGGTGTTCCAGAAGCAAAAATACGAAACCTACTTTCAAACCCTCAAACCAATAAACACTGAACCGAAGAGTTTTCAACACTCAGCCCTCTTTTGCCCCTTAACCTCAAACCACTACGTACCCTGTGCCGGAGACTACATCCCACACTTTGAAGCCCGCATCCTAATTAGTTTTTTGTGCACCATATTGGGGCCCTGACAAAACAAGAACGAGAGCTAGGGCAAGGGCTTGGGTACATTATGTAGCACATAGGCTCGACACGGGGAATGTTCTTAATTTAGGGTTTAGGGTTTAGGGTTTCAGGCTCAATCTGAGGCCAGGAAGTCCTACCTCTGATAGGCTACCTCCGGCAGGCTACCTCTTGAGACGCTCAACGCCCAAAGAACGAGTCCCTATATACTGCAGACGTATACTTTGACCTGAAAGTACCTAGACAGGAATTCCTGTAAGACCAAAGTATCTGCGCATCAATAGGCCCTATACCCTTGACTCCGAAACCCTAAACCCTTGAACCCTGAACCTGACCACAAATCCTAAACCCTAACCCTGAATCCTAAACCCTCAAAGAGGCCTAAACCCAACAGCACAAATTAACGCACTGAAGCTCAAGGCCAAGGGGGCTCTGAAACCATCGAAGTGGTTCCTGCGGTTCTTCGTGGGGTTTGGGTTTAGGTGCTTTTGTGTTTATGGGGGTTTAGGCTTTAGGGTTCACAGTGCTTTACCCTGAACCCTAAACAACTTCTGGGGTTTGGGGTTCAAGAAGCTTCGGGTTCTGGACCCTACATACTAAACCTGAACACCCGTCAGCTCATGGCCCTAAACCCTCGAAGCCCTAAACCTAACATCGTCGATAATATTCACTACATTTCATCAGGGTTCATCCCCTGGCATCTGCCTCCCATTGGCTAGGTTCTGGACCGCATCGCATCGGGCGTACTCTGCGTAAGCGAATCTTCTCCACAGCCTCCATCACGCCTTCCTCCGTGATTGCGACTCGATGTGGATCGCACACCTTGCAAAAGTGAACCCCATGGGAGGGTCACATCAAAAGCCTCCAACTGTGTATCGCTCCAGCGAGCACCTGTAGGAAAAGAACTGCATGGAGGGCAGATCGGCATCACCGACCTGTATGATCGTGTATCCTCCTGTCTGGTGGATGGGGAAAGGTCAAAGGTCGTCTTCGGCGTCCAGAGTTGGCGAAAAGTCGTAGTGCGGGTCCCTGGAACGGAGCGCTTTCACCATGTACGACACTGTTGCTGATGGTGATACTGATGTTGTTGATAATGCCGTGGACGCCCGAGAACGCGGATGACGACGACGATGACGATGATGATGATGCTGCTGATGATGATGGTGAAGAAGAAGATGATG